TAAGAAAGCTAGCTTGATTAGCAAAACATGGTGCTTTCTTAGGGTAGTTGTAGATGCCTGTATTCCTACTAAAGGACTTTGCTTATGCAACTGGAGAGTTTGAGGAGGAATGAAATTCTAGCATGACTATTACGAAGAAAGTAATTATGGAAAAGATTACGAGCCAACAAAATATGTCACTCGAGCATATGATGATAAGAACATGATAAGGGCACACTACTAAAGAACATTTACTTTTTTTTTTTTTTTTTAACACCCAGATTCATACAATTTTAGCTAGAGGTTAGGTCGTGTGTCTTCTTCCAAAGTTTTGTACTTTTTGTTTTGGTATGAATAAAATAGTCTACTGTGTTTTGATTAAATAAAATAGATATGATTCTAATCATAATTCCAATCTTGGTCCCTCAACTTCCAATAAATTATAAAAGGCACCTAAACTAATAACATACTGATATCAACAAAGATAACAACAATCGACAATAGATACATTGCTTATCCATCTTCATCAGCAGGATTAAAACAAAATAAAATACTTTTTGTTTCCTATTAAGTTTGACGAAGCCCAGTAAAGGAATATTTCCCAAGTATAACACGAGCCAAAAATAAAATAAATTGAACAATGGTACATGTTGCTAAAAGCATGTTTGATCAAGTATCATTATGTGAATGTAATTAATGATGATAATTCCAACTTTTAGGATTAATCGGGAGCAACATCTCATATGACAAATTAAGGAAATAAACTCCCCGTCCAATTAAACCTTAAAATTCATCAAAACTGCAATTGGCATAAAGAAATTTCCCATATAACTATTAACCTTAATTCGTTCTCATAATCTGAAAAACAATTCCAATTGGATCTATTGTAAGACATATCGCTTAAGAAAACATTAAAATAATAATAATAATAATAATTGCCCCAAATGTACGTGCAGCAGTTCGCATAACAGACTACTGGTTCTGGTTGACTGAGATGGAATAACCAAAAAAAAAAAAGAAGCAATTATTTGCATCCTTTACGGAAACCACTTATTTTGGAAAAGATAATACACAGATTCAGAATCAGAATCCACCACAAAGTAGTAGTAATTAAAGACAGCTTCCTCCATATCCTGCATTTCTAAATAGTGCCTGCTTTACGTCTTCCGAACTTAAAACTGCTCTCTGCTCCTTTTCCTGCACTTACATTTAACTATTGTTAGAACCTAATCCTAATGCCTAGTATGGTATCAAAGCCTTGTTAAACATTTAGATGGACAATTAAAATAAGAGATTTAGTACCTGACATGAAGCTTGCATTGCAAAATCATTAAAGCAGCTAATGACACAGTGGTGAATGTGAAGGCCTAATGCCTCTAGAGTGCTCAGGGTTGACAGCAACAACCCAGACTTCCCTGCACAGCATATCTCTATTCTTGTATCTGCACCATTCCTTCTTTCTACATCAAACTGCATTCACTTATATAACACTCAGTACGTAATAAAAAATCATTTTTTGTTAGAATAAAATCTTGCAGATATATGTACCTTGGGTGAATTTCTCACTAACATTTCATTAGGCTTTGCATCCTTGAAGATGGTCAGCTGATTTGATCCCACATCTTCAATTTCATCTTGCAACTTATTAATTCTCTCCAATAGCTCTTTCACATAGTCTATAGTATCACCAAGTATAGAGGTTCTATCCATCTGTCAAAGAAAAAGATAAAAGAGGGTAAGTTGACTTTGAAAAAAAAAAAAAAAAATCCTCA